AGGCGGCACCGAAACGCGGTGCGGACCCGACTCCTCCGGATCACAGCCAGAGCTGTTGTCCTGGAGGACGTCCAGAGTGCTTCTGTGCAGCAAGCGGCTCATTCTGCTGAGCTTGGCGTTCACACAGGGCTGAAATTTGGTCCAGAAATACCGTATTTAATATAATATGTAGCTGCATTTTTTCCAGTTGCAGCGTAAGCCGTGCAGAGAGGCTGCTCTTTAGACACGGCGCGCGGCTCTGCAGCGCGGTGCCGCTGGCGCAGGGGTGTTGGATATGGGACGGGCAGGCCCTCGAGCTGGCAGCCCTGCAAGGGCCGCGGCGGCAGGCGCTGGCACAGCCTGCCCTGCTCTGCCACCCGCCCCGGGGAGATCTGGGGATCTCTTTTCCCTTCCCATAGCTGAGAACACAGCAAATGACAGCTAAGAAGTAACTATCACAGTGTGGCAGATGGTGCATGGTTTCACACTCGGATACAACGGTAACGTCAATCGGAGATGTTGTGCCTTCTAGTTGGTGGGCATGGGGGCTAGGAGGCAGCTCTCCTGGGTTGTCTTTGCAGTATTTCTATGATCTTCCCCAATTCCGCCCTTCTATTTTGTCTCCCAAAAGAAGTCAGTATAAATCCATGTATAAAATATTGATCTAAGCCCACCGGGAGCTCCAGGAGAAGCTGTATAGTGTGATCCCAAAGCAGATAATTGTGTACAGAGCACATAGTGGAGAAGCTCATGCTTCTGGAGAGCTTAAAAGCCTGATCTTGAAAGTATTCCAGGCACAGAAGTAGCTCCCTGACCTTGCTGATGCCCAGCTAAGCTCAGGAAGATGTTGGGAACAGAAAGTTCCTCTGCTCTTCCTCCCTCTCCCATGTTCAAACAAGCAGCACGTTTTTTTATTCTGCACCTAAGCTGAGTAAAATATATACCCTTGGCAGGAGTGAAAAATGTGTTGCTAATTATGCAATTATTTTATTATGTAGCACTAGTAAGAAATGTCTAGTAAAGAATTAATTCAGTTAAAATAATTTGAATCAAGCAATTATTTTCTTAACACTAGAATTAGCTGAAAGTACTTCAAGTGGTTTATTACTAGCACTACATAATAAAATAATTGTGTAATTAGTAATAAATTTGTCACCCCTTTTGAGGTCTTTTTCTTTGGGCAGGACAGTGAAATGAAAAGGTTGGAGTTTGGCTTGGTTTTTAGTCATTTTAGTCTTGGGCAGAATTTATGTTTATCCACAGTTACAGGAAATGGATTTTTCTTCTTTTCATCAGCACTTGAAGTTTCTTAAAGAATGTGAAACTCCTTTTCTGGGCTGCTTGGATAACGACCTTGCGGATGAGCCGGAGAGAGCAAAGGAGCATGTAGGTCCTATTACCATGGAGTTAGGGGCTACCTTCTTGTTAGGTTTAACATTGCACAAGGAGTTAAATGCTCTGGGGACATTGGCTGAAGTGACTTTCTGCCCAGAAAGGATGGTGCTCCCAGGTGCTGTAAGGATTTTAGGTGAATTAATAGACATATGTTCATCTCAAGGCTCCTATATATAATAGTATGTAACAAAATACGTATATTTCAGTCTATTTCCTTTACAAACTATATACATTATAAACTGTATCATCTCATATTAACTTGTTTCATCTTTCTTTTTTTCCTCTTTATATTTAAGTCACCTTTGTGGAGTATTTTCAATGTACTGCCTTTACATGGTGGAGTTATTAATTTTAAGTAAAATACCTTAAATTGTAATGCAAGAAGAGAAGAATTCTTTTTCATATATGAACCCTGCCCACATGCAAATCTTTGTCAAGATATGCAAAAAGTCTGCTGCCCTGCAGTATCCCATGTGAATTACATGAATTTCAGTACGGATCCGTAGTCGCGAGTGTGAAATTGGGCGGATGCACTTGTGTTAAGTTCATAGTATGTGGCTCAAATTGCTGAAATCCTCATTGACCTGAGCGACAAGGTGGGTAATGGGTCACCTCGAGGGCTCCCTGTGAGCTGCAGGCCTGGCCGCTCGTATTCCGTGAGGAGATCCAGTTGCACTGGAAATATCCAAACCACCTTTCCCAGGTGGAGGTCCTGGTTCCGGGGCCGCAATGTGGCGAGCCCGTCTGCTCGGTGCATTGAGCCCTGCCCGTCTCCAGGAGGTGCCAGCTGGGATGGTGGCAGGAGGACGTGCTCAGAGCGCTGAACGTGTCCCCCACATGGAGCAGGGGCCGAGACGTTGTGACCGCAGCTGCCCTGTCCTTTCTCTGCAGACATGTACGACCAAGTGCTGAAGTTCGGCGCCTACATCGTGGACGGCCTGCGGGAGTATCGGCAGCCCGTGCTCATCTACATCCCGCCGCAGGCGGAGCTCAGAGGAGGCTCCTGGGCTGTGATCGACCCCACCATTAATCCCCGTCACATGGAGATGTACGCGGACCGGGAGAGCAGGTAGGGCCTGGTGGAGTGGGAAGCTCCCAGAGCACTTCCCAGTTGCACCTAGTGCAGCAGAGGAGTTTGTTGTTCAGGTATTTGCACACACTGCTTCGTGCTTGGAAATGGCTGCCTTTGTACACAGCTTTGCAAATTAAGTAAGTGTACAAAGAAGTGTGCGCTTCAAAATACCTGGGAATTGCACTGTCAGGCAGGCATTTGGGCAGTTTCACTTTTTTCTAAAAGACAGTTTGCCTAAGTGAAGTTCTAGTTGCTGGTGGTTCAGTGAGTAAAACTACAGACAAATGCTTGGAAGCAGGTCTTTTAAATAATATTTTAGTGATTCTTGAAAATATAAAGATACTGAATTATTTAGAGGGGAACAAGAGCCCGGTGGGGGTTATCTGTAGCTGATAGGACAGAATGCAGTAGTCCTATCTGGGCTTGAAAGAGGCAGGAGGAGGAGGATGTAGCTATGGGTGTTTGTACAGAAATAAATAGCAAGGGACTTCAAGCACTACAGAGAATCCAGCCAGTGTTAGATTCCTGTCTTTAATGCTTTCGATCTGGCCAGCCACGTGGTATGAAAATAACCAGGCAAGTGGGAAACCAACTATCATGCAGTGGTGCAAGTAGTTGTATCTTGTCAGTGTGAGGTTCTGTAGATGTGTCTGTGCCACCTCCCCGTAGAAGTGGGAGCAGCGGGACCGGGTCTTGGAGCTTCCTCCTTCTCCCCGATGTCTCTGCCGCTCCGGTGCCACGTTCTGTCGGAGCTGGATGAGCTCCTGAGCTCGGCCTTTCCCCGTGCTCTCCACCTTGGGCGTTTTCCTCCCCCAGCAGCTCATTTGCTGCCACGTGTCCATGCAGAGAACGGGGCATTTGCAAGGCTGCTGGCTGCTCTCGGTGTCCCACAGCCCTCTCGCTGACCTCCCTCTCCTTCTCCTGCTCCCACCTTCACCGTGAGAGATGGAAGGGGTTTGATTTACCAAGCCTCAGTTCCTAATGACGTTTTCCTCTGGCTGTGACCTGGGAAGTGGGCAGGATCACTAATGAAAGTGGTTGCTTAATTGGTTTGTTTCACAAAGCTTGCAACCATTTGAAGGGGCTCTTGGGTCACAGCTTGAAAGAGCCTACCGAAAAGTGGTGTTTGCAGCAGCCTATGTTGCATGTATGATTGGATAGATGCGTTTCTGTGAAGCCTCATATGCATTTATGGTACTGGATAAATAATAGCTAAGATTCTTTCTTTCTTGTTCTCTTTTCTCTTTGTTTTGTCTCCCTCCACCCCTTTCTTCTTCTGTCTTTTCTGCGTACTTTCTAGATAACATTGAACCATTCCGTTTTGTGTTTCCCCTTGTCTGATGACCTGAAAGTGCCTTTCTTTTCTCTTTTCCCGTCACTGATCAGAGGAGGAATCCTGGAACCGGAGGGGACAGTAGAAATCAAATTCCGCAGGAAAGATCTGGTGAAGACGATGCGGCGGGTGGACCCCATCTACATGCGCCTGGCGGAGCGGCTGGGTACGTCTGCACCGGGGTGCTGGCGGATCAATGATCCGTTCAGCTCATAGCTAATGAATGTGTTTATAGACCTTAAAAAGGGGCACTCAGGCGTTTTATCAAATTCATGATAATTTTTATTTACTGTCATCTAAGTTGGGAAGGAAACCAGATGAGACAAGCTGCATGTATGTATGCGTGGGAGGTGATACCCGTGTACGTAGAGTGTACCCCCTGCGTGTGTAATGTATGGAGCATCCTTTGAACCTTTTTTTTTTTTCCCCTGTAAATTGATTCAGCCTCACAACACATATTCCCCACAACTGCTTAACCCTGGTTTCCTTCTCAGCAATTGCTTTGGTCTCTAAAACATCCTGGGCCAAACCTTAGCTGGTCTCAGTTGGCAGAGCTAAGGATTTGGTCAGAGATGTGCGGGGCTGCTGGGCTGTCACCAGGGGTGTGAGGCAGTTCTGAGTGATGATACCTGTCTGCTCTCCAGTTTCAACAGTGTGCAATATTCCTCACCTTCTCCCTAAAACACAGGGTAATCCGCAGTGCTCAGTGCACTGCACATATCACATTATAGTGTGCTTTTTGTTGCAAGTGATCCCAAAGCCTAGTGTATCCCCAGTAACTGAAAGAGCAAAATGCACTCAGTATCTGACATGTACTGTCTTGGGGAGCAGACTCTTTAAATAGTTCTCTACCAACTCTAAAAGTGTAACCATACAGAGCCTCTTTCCCCTTCCACAACATACAGTTTCGTAGCGAAGGAAGTGCACTTTGTGGGTATAGTTTGAATTTATAAACGCTTTTGGGATCCTTCAGGAGAAGAAAGTGCTTGGCAAATGATTGATAAGTCGAGGCTATTGCTGCAGTTCCATTTTATTATTTGGCTTTTATTATTATTATTTATTTATGGTAGCACAACAATTTATACCAAAAGTAACCATTCCAATCCACCTTTGGAAGACAGTAGTGTCTGGAAAGGGTGCAGCAAATATTAAGCATCAGACTTCTGGCTGAAAGTCGGCTTCTTACTGATGCCTTTGATGGCACCCACATTTTTTTGTCTTTTTTAATTTAAAAAAAGAAGTTTAAAAATCTATTTTCTCCCCCTGCGCTGATATGTATTGGAGCTGAGGTCTTGCTCGTGTGCGTTACGAGGAACGCGTCGGAGGAAGTGGACAGCTGTATCCAGTGGGATCTGCCCTCCTGTTTGCCTGCTTCTGGAAACAAATGTTAATAGTTGTAGGTGTAGCGAGGAGGCCCTTTTCCCAGGAAAAGCAACTTTGGCCAGTGCTGGCCTTGGCACTGCCCTTTGGGAGCAAAGCCCTGGGGTGGCTGCCCCGGGCCGCGTCCCAAGGAAGGTGCCGTCAGGGTGGGTTGGGGCTGATTCCTTCAATCTGCTTGGACAGATTGAAGCAGATTCCTTCCGAGGGCCTCCAAATGCAAAGGGAGGAGGCAGGAGCCTGCGCAGGGGCTCTCCCACCCCCCTTCTGCACTGGGTAATTACTCCCAGCAAACTCCATACACTTTAATTAAAATGACTGCAACACCAGAGCAAGTCACTTACAACTGTACGTACAGAGAGCTCTAAAAGCTTCAGTGGCTGATAAGCATCTCACTTAGATGGCTCGTAATTGCTCCCAGCATCGCGATCATTGCTGTTGTTTTGCCACTAATTCCGTGCCATAGCAGGAAAGCCGAGATTGCAGGACACACGGAATTGCATAATTTTTTCCCACTTTTTTTTTCTTTTTTTTTTTTTTTTTGCTGGTTTTCTTTCTGGCCAATTTAAAATTTGTCAAAGTCGGTCTTCTTCTGGATCACTGCCCTTTGATATTTCGTGCACTCCATTTGCCACAAACAAGCCGCAGGGCCGCAGTTCATGCTGACTCCAGCAGAAGCAGAGAAAGCTCCATTTATCTTACACTGCCTGCTGAATTCTTGCTCATTAGCTGGGGGTTCACTGCCTCTCTTTAACCCCTGAGTGGCTGTCATCCCTCCCGGAGCCGCTCGGCAGCAGGGCGGGCGCTGCCGGCGGACGCGAGGTGACTCCGGCGCGTCGGCAGCCCCTTCCCACCCCGCACGCGGGGAGCGCGAGAGCGGCCCGGCCTGGCAGATATTGAATAATTTGACATAAATCTGCTCATTATCAATTCCCTGGCACTATTGCTGAAATGTTTATTAGCCCCGTGTTTTATTGGAGTGTCACTCAGAGCCGGGCTCTGAGTTACGGCGCGGAGCAGAGGTGCGGGGAGGGGACAGCGGCCGCCCGCGCGCGCGGAGCCGCGGGGACGACGGATGTGATTGTGTTCTGGTTATTCGGATGCAGAGATGCGATTGTGTTCTAGTTATTTGCTGCAATTAGAGTGAAACATCGAGGAGAGGCATCCAAATTAACTTTGTCATGCAGATTTCGGGCCTCGAGCCTAAGAGGGTTATGTGTGTAATGCGGCGGCTGCACAGTGTAATGTGAGCAAAGTTTTGGTCCAATTTTAGTGAAAGAAATGGCAAAATGAGTCCAGTTAGAGCAAGATTGGATATTGCATTTTCACATTTCTTCTATCATTGATCTGTCTCAGAGTAAAAGGGAGGTGTCTGCTCTTCATCTCATAGATCTTACTGTAGTGTAAGTATTCTCCCCAGTCAGTCCTATGGCAGTTGGCTCTGTGCTGGCAGGTGTCTTTTTTTTTTCTTAGCTAACACACATTTTGCACGTGTGTGCCTGTATTTATGTATTTCTACTTGGTGACACCTTGCACAAGGTGTGGGAGGAGGCGGCTGCTGCTCCAGGACTTGCAAACACAGATGCCCTCAAGTCTCCACAGATAAAATCAGCCCAGGCTGCTGCTTCCTGATGTCCCTCTCACTTTAATGGGCCAAAGAGCTTGCAAAACATTTCTTGAGCTTCCAAATAACGAGCTCCACTGCTGAGCCACTGATGTCTGTGTTGTAATTATTCGAAGCACCATCTCTTTGCTTGATTATCAGCTAAGAGGAATGTTGAGCAGAGCTGCAACTTTTTGTCTTTTTAGGCAGTACTGATTTTCAGGGCCTGCCTCCGCATGCGGGTGCTGCTGCACTGGAATTGTCTTGAATTCACAGGCCTGAGTCTAGAAGAGCAAGTGCCCGTGCCCGTCAGCTCCTTGGTGACAGTTGGCATCTGCAGGTTTTCCCCCAGGAGGGTGGTAGGTGATTCCTCCCAGATGCCCATTTTCTGGAATTACGCAGCTGCCCCGCTTGGCCCGTTTGCTCCGCGGCGGCGTTGAGGCCGGAGCTGCTGGAGAGGAGCAGGGCAGCGTGGTGCACGGTGCGGATGGACGTTGGTGTTTCAAGCCCGTGTCATGGGCCTGTGTGACCTTCACTGGTATTTCATACCGCAGCTTTACACCATAAATCGTACTGAATATTTAGCGAAGCAATTACAAGCAGCCTCATTTACAGAAACAAGCAACAACGATCAGAAGGCGCCCGTGTCTGCAGGGCCGCGCGCTCCGAGTGACCTTCCTGCAGCGCGGGGGACGCGGTGACGGGGCGGCCGTGAAGGGGCTGCTGATCCTGCTGCCTCTGCTGGATTCCTGTGGCCAGGCCTTTGCCAAGGGTAGCTGGAGAGAAGGGGAGATTCGGGTAGAAAGATTTTGTTTTGTTCCCGGTGTGGAATCAAATGGGATAACAATAAAGCTGCCATCTCTTCATGCCGTTGGATGCAGAGTGGAGCTCGTTTCCCAGGCTGCCGGGTGGGCTAAGTGCTTTGCTGGCAAGAAGGGCTGTGATGTTCTGTGCGTCTTCTGGGAAGATCCCTGGATTTGCCTGGAATAACCGCGCCATGGAGGCGACCCAGGAAGGCCCCAGTGCTGTGTTGGGGCTGGTTTCCCGGAGCTGTGAGCTGAGGCTCGTCGGAAGAACTTCCTCAAGGTTTCCGGAGCGACCTGGGCAAGGAGGGCCAGGAGGATCCCGGAGGCACCGGTGCATCCGGACCTTGCCTCAAACCTGGGTGGGTTGTTGGAGGAATAGGCCAAAAAGCAAGCGAGGAAACACGTGGCCGTGCTGAGGCTGCGCGCGGGCGAGGGAGAAAATCCCCCATTTTAACAGCTTGGAAACCGTAAAGCATCAAATTGATTCAGAAGCTGCCTGGCTTTCTGCAATCAGGGGGAACCTACAATAACATTTCTTGAAGTCATTTTGTCTAACCTGTTAAACTGGTCATATTTAAAAAAAAGCACTTTGCTACTAACCGTTATGGGAAGCCGTGATTCATGGCGCTGCGCAGCCCGCGCCGCCTGGCAGGGACTTTATTAAAGGCCACGCGGGCCGGACGCGGCGGCGGCCGGAGCCTCCTCGCGCCGAGGCTGCTGCTCCGCGGGGCACAAATCAAAATAGTTTAGGGGTTGCTTCCTCTGCCGTGATGCCTTCGCTTAACTTTGGGAGAGGAGTGTAAATTGATATTGGAGCGCGCGGCGGGCGAGGGCTCCCGGGGGATTTATGGCCTCCGCTTTTCCATTTGTCTGCACAGGGAGGGCAGCTCCGCTGAAGTCTTCTTCTCCTGTCGGAGCTATAAAGCAGGCGGCCGGGCCCCCCGCGCTGGCCCTGCGGACGCGCGGCC